AAGTCCCCATGAGGATAGAACAACAAATGTGTGTGCGCGGGAGGTGTGGAGCAGAGCTCGCGAGCAGAGCGCAGTGTTATTAGGAAGACATGAGACTGTCGGCGGGCGACCGTTGATACTGCTGGATTATTTTTATGGAACATGATGAAAACTTTTAGTTTCAGCGGGCGACCGCTCCCCCTCCCCATGCGACCGGACATTTTTTTTWAYTCYCYCTATTAGGAAATRTGGTCGCATTTGTGACCAAATTGGTCGCACTCTAGAGCCCTGGACCAGTCCTTCAGTTCAGGCCAAAGGAAYGATACATTTGTCGGCCGCATCGGAGGAGTCTTCGGTTTTGGACYTCCTTCGTRGCGGCGCTGTGACGTATGCGGCCYATGAATTCGGCCTTCGGAGGARCCGMCCRYCCGTTTTGGACACAGCCAATGTCACCCAATCCTACATCAAAGGCTCACTGTTTATGTGAAAGATTTTCAATGATCTGTTGAGARGTTGGTTTACATTGTCTGACATACTGCTACCAAAAGTTCCCACCTAGCACGATATTTACCATGAACCAAACCCAACATGTCTTGTAAAAGTTTTTTTTGTCATTGCTGTAAATCAAAGATTGAGAGGAGSAGGAGGACAACAGGTGTCTGCTTCAGTGCATTAAATTAGGGCCCTATAAAATCCATTTTAGTTTTTCCCAAATTCGATTTTTTTTCCTGTTTTTATTTCTCTAAATTCCACTTTTTCCATTTTTTCCCCTGAATTCCACATTTTCATTGTAACCATATTTAACCTAAAAAGTGTGTAATTATAAAGTGACTGAACAACAATTAAACAAATAAATAGCTACAGAAATAAAACAATGTCACCAATATAACAGAAAGTGGTGTTTCAGTAGAACATTAAGATTTTTTTGAAAGGTGTTTAAAAGTATTTACTAAGAAAAAAACGTGTAAAATATAGAATCTCACATAATAAATTTATCTTTGTAAAATAAAAAATGTTTTAGAGTTTACTTAAATATGTTATAAAGAAACATAAAACCAACAAACAGCAACAATTTGTGCACACTTGCCAAGTGAATAGGATCCAAGCTCATTTACTTTTGTAATGGACACACACATACACACACATACACATGGTTTACAGTTTATCAAAAAACAAACAAAGCTTTTTCACCTTTTACCAGGTAATGGAAGCTACAGTGAGCGGCAGCGGCCAAAATACCTCAGAAGCTCACCCAAATAAGCGAATTCCGTGAGATTCCACATTTTCCACTGGATTCCATTTAGTTTGGCCAGTTACATGATCCCGTCTGCGTTTTCTGCATCGTTGAAATGATAGGGCCCTATAAAAGTGTTGTGGATTGAGAGTTCCACCAAACAGGGTTTAATTTGAGACGGGTTAAATGTTGAAGAGTGATTGGAGTGAGGACCAGAGGCAGGTGTGCAGTAAGCTGTGTGACTGTTCCAGGAGAAGATGCCTGTAGAGAGGATGAGGATGCGGCCGTGGCTGGAAGAACAGATCGACTCCTGTCAGATCCCTGGTCTGAAGTGGGTTAACAAAGTAAGTGTGTCTCATAGACACGTGATGATGATGATGATGATGATGACGATGAAGCCTCACTGATCCTGTGGAACATCTGCAGGAGAAGAGGATCTTTCAGATTCCCTGGATGCACGCTGCGCGTCACGGCTGGGACCTGGAGAAGGATGCTCCGCTCTTTATGAAATGGGCCATACACACSGGTGAGGTCCAGACCGTCAACACTTCTTTTTCACTGCCACACCTACGAGAATCCCCTGTGAAGGATTAGACATCACAGGGGATTCAGAGAAAAGCAAGAACTTGTTTTGGATTCAGGTCTAGAGGTTCTCCTCCTCTCAGATCTGTGTCTCTTTGCTCTATAAATTTACTGTTTTCTTCTGCTTCAAACTGTTTCTCAGCTCTCTGAAAGCCAGCTGAAGTGTAATGAAACATTTGCTCCACTTCTCGGGCTGTAGGTAAATACCAGCCTGGCGTGGACCGGCCCGATCCAAAGACGTGGAAGGCCAACTTCCGCTGCGCCATGAACAGCCTGCCGGACATCGAGGAGGTGAAGGACAAAAGCATCAAAAAGGGAACGAACGCCTTCAGGGTTTATAAGATGCTGTCGTCCACAGAGAGAAGCTTGAAGAAAGGTGAGCGCTGCTGAGCGTGCTGCTGCAGACCTGCTGTAAACTGGTTTCTGACAGGAGTCTCTCTGCTGTCCGTTTAGGAAAGAAGAAGGCAGAAAAGGAGGGCAGGTCAAAGGCAGGTAAAGAGGTAGGTGAGCCCCTGACAGGCAGGAGGTGGGGGGATAACGTTACAGCCGAGGAGGTTCTATAGAACAACTGAAGTGATCAGAAACCAGGTGACCATGTGATCGGCTGGAGAAGCTAACGGCTAACGCTAAACGGTCAAGAGTCTGGATTTCACATT